AAAATGAAAAGATGCATTGTCATGGAATACAAAACATTTGGAATACGTTTTCTGGCTGAATAACGTAAGATTAAAAGTCATCTGCTTAATTCACATCCATTTACAAGTCAACTACTCGGGCAATTGCAGAATCGTTTTGATCCTGAGCTTGTAAGACAAACCTAATATCACTGGATTTAAACACTTCTTTAATCTTCCGAGAACGTTCCTTCTTTAGCTCATATTCCAAGAATATTAAGTGAATACAATTATTGCCAAAGAAATTGAATATTCATTTGCACTACGGCTTGGTAGTTTACTAACGAGTTAACAAAACTTAAATTCTGCTTTTGTGTCTAAGAATACAACAATATTTTAAATATTTACAAATAAAATATTAAATTGGAGATTTAATTGGAGCCTCATCAGTTGCCTAGCATTTGAAAAAAAAAAAAAAAAAAAAAAAGATTGTTAAATACTAATTGTTTGATGCTCAGTCTAACCCAGGCTGCATGGTTGGTTTTCGTAGTTTTTTAGGTTCTCTTTACAAAGATTCTCTATGAAAGCATCTTAATCAAATAGCTCCCATGTTCTTTCTATGTTCAAATAACCAACTAACCTAGTTTAAGCGCGATTTCCAAGCGAAGTTACTAGTAAAATCCGAATACTCATTAAAAATCATGTAGCTAGCCAATCGGGAGTAACATGAAAGATACGGCGCCAATAATTGAAATGTTGTTACGGTACGCTGTTTCTTAACTTAGATGGTCATTCCTTAATTAAATAGCCCACCAACGGCCGAGCGGTAAAGACGCTGAAACTGGTAGTTCAGTCCGAAGTTCGAATCCCGCGAACGGGCTGGCCGCATGGGCGGTTTCGTGTTTTCCCCATGTGTAACGTGTATACGAGCCAGTTTCACTTAGAAAGTTCTCCACGAAGTTATCCCTCGCTTTAGGCAGATAGCCCTCGTGTGCTTTGCCAATAATTAAATAATCCAATCCAATCCTTAATTAAATATAATTGATTTGTAAATTCTACTAGAACTGACGGTAAGAATTGAAGTGGAAATAAGTAATATGGTGTGCAATCTTGATTAATATAAAATTAAAAATATTTGCATAGAGAAATGTTTGCATTCAGACAGAAAGTTTTTTGAAATATTTGCAATTACTTTATAAGAAGGATTTATTAATAACCGTAATAATTACTTATTATATTACTGATGATTAGGATTCAGTTCTTGACAATTACATTCTAAATTAGAATTTTAAAGATATAATGAAAATACGCTACGCACAAAAAATACATTTTAGGAAAAAAAAAATGAGTTGATTTTTTATGTTTTAAAACTTCTTAAATTCATTTAGTAAACATCGTATCCTCATTGTTTATTGAATCCAGAATGTTGGTGTCGTTTATATAATTATTTTTACTTGTTCACAGAATCTGCTGACTTATCCAGCCATTAAGTAGCTGCAGATCATTTCTACATAACCATTGAACTTCCATTAATTCAGTCTCTAGAGGGTTGTATGTTTATATCATAATTTGACTTTTATAAAAAATGATTATTCTAAATATTATGTTTCTATAAAAATATATTGTGCTTTAAAAATATGGATGATAGTATCAGCCGCTCTTTCAGCCACTTTTAAAAGCAACAATTTGTTTAGAAATAAATTGTGCAGTTAATGTCATAAAATTCAAATAAATATCAAACGAAAATTCTCAGTTTTAGACAATTCGAATTAAACGAAGTAAAGTAGCAGACGATAAAACGCCGAAGGTAAAAATTTACTCTTACAAAAACTTACTCTTAAATTTAAAAAAAAAAAGAAAAGATACGAGAGAAATTTAAAAAAAAATAGTTAAAAATTTGAATAATATCATCTATAATTTAAAAAATAGCCTTTCATATAGTATTAATAAATATTTATTACGCATTATTGAGGAAAAAAATGTCATATAATTAATTCTCCGTAAAATTTTATTTGAAGTTTGAGGTTAAAAAAAGCTGTGACAATTCAGTGTAACAAAAATCCATAGACCACATTTGGCGTTATTATCGCTAAAAAAAAAGGTGCCAAATTTCAAAACGCGAAATTATGTAAATTCGTGTATATCTTAGAAAATTTTGAATAAAAAAGTCTTAATTTTTTGCAGATACGCTTAAAAATACACCTACTTTAAGATGATGGTAAAAATTTATAGGTTATAATTCAAAAAATTTTTTCGAAAAATCTATAGAATTATTTTTTAAAAATAGAAATTTAAAAAAATAAAACGCAAAAAATGGGTAAATTTATTTGGAATGAACCAAAATTTCGAAATGTGAGAGGAAAAAATCAAAAAAAAAGTTTAATAAAAAAGAGATATTAATAAATATTTGCCAAATTCAATTAACATTGAGGAGCTAAAATTTTGAGAGCTAATATTTTAAAAAATTATTCGTACGATTTTTACAAAACTTGGTTATTCTGGCATAATTTGAGTCGTAGAATCGAAATACTGAAAAAAAAATTGGTATGTTATTTCAGAAAAAGTCTAGATTTTGTGTCAAAATAACCTATGTTAGAATAGTGCTATATCATAAATCTAATATATATCCTAAGTCGCGCTTTCGAGACATGAAAAACGCAGTTTGAATTTTGTCTATCGGCCCAGTAGAACGGGAGATATAGCACTGTCCCATTTTTTTTTTTTTTTTTTTTTTTTTTTTTTTTTTGAGCAGTGTACCATTCATAAGTAATGTTATACACGCATGATTATCAGTAAAGATCATGGAGTAAGGATGCTCAAAATCCACGTTGTGATATCGAAATGAAATTGAGTCTAATATAGGGTATGATCCTCTCTCGCAACCAGACAATTCGCGAAGCATGACGCTATACTGGACAGGAGGCAACTCAAAAGTAACTGCGGCAGTTCATCCTAATGCAGCAATGCAGTTTGCAACTTCGAGATGGTTCTCAGAGGGCGATGGCAACAAGAATTTGCTCTCCTAAGAGCATCTCTGACATGCTGTATAGGCTTCGCTGAGTTCTTTAGTGGAGAGGTGCGTTCGTTTCCTCTCGCTTTTTGGCTTGGCTTTTACGAACGACTTTCATCCCGTCGTTCCTTCGCAGCGTTAGATCTGCAGGCAGAGACGAGATACCAGCCGGTGGTTAAGAAATGGCTACCGCTGCTGGTCGGGACTTATCTTTAACCGGTTGCACGCAAACTCGTCGCGGGGTAGCCAGAAAAAACCTGCCTGGCTAAACCATGAGGCAAATGTCCTCTTTTCCAGGTAATAGTCGACCGACTGAACCCTATGTGGACGAGATCTATCGCCCATTAACAGGAACCTAGGATGAACTGCGCCCTTGATAAGTCAAATATAGGTCCCCAAGATCTCTCTATATCTCATAGCAGTCAGGAAGCCTTTGTCAAACATATGCAGTGTTGTGCGGACGTCCATCATAATGCCTGCCCAAACCATTACACCTCCACCACCGTAATGATCCTTTTCCTTGATGAGTGAGGGATGTTATCGTGTTAAAGGCTCTCTCCAGATACAGGTAAGCCGAGAATCAGTGTCCAGGCTGAATCTCATCTGCGAAAAGCACGGTGCTCCACTGAAGTACGGTCCAAGACGCATAGTGTCTGTACCATACTAAACACGCTGCCTTTATGTGCTGCAATGAGAGGAACGCAAACAGCGGGTTTTCTGGCATACAGCCCTGTCTCATGAAGCCTTCGGGCAAATGTAGACGAAACTCGGGTTCCGTTAACAGTATGCAGTTCTTGTGAGAGTAATTTAAAATTAATATTAATTTTAAATTCCTTAGTTTTTTTTTAAATTTAGCATCTCACGTTTTGCCAAGTCGCAGCACACTGATGTGTGGAAAATATTTTGTTTCATTCAGTGGCAACATTTCTTTTAAATCTCAGAGTTTCTTGATCAAATTTGAGGCAAAAAGAGTTTGTACTCTGCCAAATGGCACACATAATTTTAAATCACCCTATTTGTTAACTCAAATTTCATTATGTTAGCACAAAACAATAAAAAATTAAAATATAAAAATTCGGTTTAGAGATGGCCTATATTTGATGAAGGGCAATATATAACCAAAATTTGTTTGTTCTAGATGCTTCGATTTTTCCGCAGTGGAGGAAACGTAAATGCATACATTCAAATTCCTCATCATTTGATAATGAAATTAATTAAGAGAAATCTTTTTTTCTTTTGTTTTTAAGTAAACAGGGCAAATTTAGACGTTGTAAAGAAACATTATTATGAGCTCCATGAAATATGACGTCACTCTTGAAAACGAAAATTCATTCTAGAGACTTTTAATGATTAGTTTTTTTTTTTTTTTTTTTTTTTTTAGTGTGGCAACGTTATCTGTATTCCAGGATTTTTTTTTGAGTTGTTAGATTGGTTTCAGATGTAAACATTAATAAATATGAATTTAAATGGAAGATTTGGAATTTTCAGAATTTGACACATGCCTTAGTTCCGGGCACGGAAATATTTGTGATTAGTGTCTACTAGATTATTTCCTTCTTTTCTTTTCTTTTCTTTTTTTTTTTTTTTTTTTGAACAGACGTTGTACCAAATATCTGTCAGGAATCACGTAATGAGTTAGATCTGCATTTATGTAGAACTGATATAACCTATTATATCAGTACATATTATTTATGTAGATTATGATATATCTAAAAAAAATAGGAATTTGGCAGAAATTGTAAAATTGGCAAGATATTTTTACATGCTTACAAAAAAAATTTCTGAAGTAGTGGAATGTGCAATTTACGCATAAAATAGTAAACTAGAACTCTTTTTGTAAAGATGAGGATAAATTCATATAAACTGGCGTATAAGCGAACCGGATATACATGCAATATTTTTCACATAACAGTGTGAAGTATCAATGAAAGAACCCTTATTGAATAACTGGACAAGTATTATACAACCATCAGAGTACACAGCGATACTGTATAGTGCAACATTACACAGAAAACTATTCAATCGTACTTACAAATAGCCTGGCGCTGAGGTTGTAAAGATACTGTGAAATCCTCTGTCTTTTGATTGCCAAGACTGTGAGAACTACAAATGAATTCTCGATCAGTAAATGTCATACCTAAAGGGAAAAAAAATCTTTTTTTTATAATAATACGACTACAACATTTTAATATAATCAACGCTCTTTATACATTCTACTACACTGATCTGTACAAATAATCTTCGAATGTTTGACAATAAGTGAATTCATTCTCGTTAAACTCGTTGTAATACTCTTTCTCTGTAGAAAAGAAGGATTATTATAAGCAGCAGCAACTGTAGTATTTAGATTAAATTGTAAATTAAATAAAAGCTTCTTAGGATCTGCAGTGATTTTTTGGGTCGAATTAATTTAAACCATTAACAAAAAATTTCGAGCACCCAAGGCATATCAAATTCCTTGGGTTAGTTTTTGTTTAATGTTGGTTAATTTTTTGTTTCTGCTTCGAAAAGAGGGTGCGACTATTACGCGAGTAAACACGGTAATTCTATTTTATTACCGCTTTCGATTATTTATGCTAATACTGCTCTACACCCTGACCGTTCCTAGCGGGGGTGCAGCTCGTAAAAGTACGCGAGTGACCAAAATCAGGGACTTTTTACACAATTTGTCATGTGTAAGTACTTAGTGAGTATGAAATAAAATTTTTATTAATCACTGAGTTTTTTTTTTTTTTTTTTTTTTTTAATTTGTGGTGGCAATTTTAGGAAAGTACGTAGCAGCCAACTGTTTAGAAACGGCTCTGGTCTACACTACTTCATATAATTTTACTCCACATAAAATCACATATCAAATTTTAAGATTCAGAGCAACTTGAATAAGTAGATGCTGACAGAATAAGTCCCTCTTAACAGTACTTCACATTCTCAAAGAATACCTTCCTTCCTTGTCTTAATTTAATATGCGATTTGCTACCAATAAATATTGAAATAAAATACATCCATCTTAGAAAAAGAAAGAATTTTTTCCCTCAGAAACTATTTTATGTATTTAAATATCATCTGAATGAATTGTGTTTCTAAGTGCCAGGTGGCGCAGTGGCCAGCGCATCGCGCAGCAACACCGCAGGTCCGGGGTTCGAACCCCGAGCTGGGCAAGGTCGACTCAGCCTTTCATCCCTTGGGTCGATAAAATGAGTATCAAGTTCGTTTGAGGACTAAACACTGGGGGTCCTACAACAAGCTGACCACTTGTTCAGGGCATATGCTTACACACCCCGGAACCGACGGTCAAGAAAGCAGATTTCGGGGCACTGCAGTCCTTGGCCCATTAGTGTTGTTTGCGCCACTGAGTTTAGTTTTAGAATTGTGTTTCTGCTACTTATTAAGTAGTTCCTACTCTTTATTTAAGTTAGTACCATTTCTGGACGGTCTTTTTTTTTTTTTTTTTTTTTTTTTTTTTTTTTTTAATTATCGACTGCCGAATGTGCTAAACACCGGTTATGTCATCGCACTGCGAACGAAACTCAATAAATATTGTGCAGGTTATAACGTATATTGAAATATATATATATATATATATATATATAAACAATTTTAAATTTCTTAGCAAATACTAGAACTCTCACAAAACCAGTAAGATCGTCCATTTGCACAGAAAGAAATAAACTAAAGGATCAGGATTATCAGTGATAATGAGTTAATCTAAAAATAGAAAGAGCCAAAGTGATTTTAAATCGTAAATATTGACTGTTGAAGAAAGTTTACTAATTAGATATCCATTCCACATCATTGATGTTGAATTACCTTTGAAAATGTAAAGCCACAAGTATATGCACCAACAAACGGGACAGGTCCTAATTCTGGGAAAATGCTAAACGCACAGTTAATGGGATGGAAAAAAGATTGATGAATGGGAGAGCAATTAGGAGCAAATGGGCCACATCCATTGAAACGTTTTCATCCCTTGACGGGCGACACTTATGCGATCTCAAACAATGTGAACAGTAACAAATGGATCCACAGCTTTTCACTGGTAACTACTGAAGATTTTCTGACCTATTCCCAGGATCCTCCGAACGGGGTTCGTGTTAGACATTACAATTTAAATTAGTAACATCAGATGCAAAACTTGATTTACGTGTGGACAAATGGGGTGTGTTTTCTCTATTTTCAACGGGGCATCCAAATTCTTTTACAGTATTTAAAATATGTAAAATTAGAGTTAGGGACAATATTTTAAACTTATTATTTTAATTTTTCATGACTTTTGCATCTGACTGTTGGCAAATGTTTCGCAACCTAGCGAACGATATAATTTAAGAGTTTTAAAGCATATATATAGCAAGTTTCTCTTCCTCGGACGAAAAAATTGTCAGGAAGCGTGCTTTCTTCAACGTAAATATTATTGTATCATCACAAATAGTTATAAATTATACAAATACTTATTAAAAGAAAACATTAACTTTCTTCCTTCCATTTCATTTTTAATAAATGAAATTTAGATTCCTATAGATAAACTTATGATTATAATTTCGGTAGAGAATTTTATTATGTTATGATTTCGGTAGAGAATTTTATTGTAAAGAAAAGAACATATGCATTTAAAACTTATTCAAAAAGAAAAGCCAAACAATGGAAAATAATATTTATATTAAAATCAAAAGACGAAAATAATATTTATATTAAAATCAAAATACAAAGATAATAGTGAGGAATACTTACTACTTTCATTTGAATGAATTATCATCATATTTTCCCAGCGTACTGTAACTGGCATATACGCATGTACAGGGTTTCCTGAGTATTCCTGTATTTCAGCCTTTATTAAGCCCCGTGACATCTATGAGAAGAAAATAAAATGACACATTTTTATCATCTCTCATTTTATTGGCATACAGGTAATTTTTATTCAGTTGGCAACAGAAAGAAGAATTCTCTGCAATAATCTGTATACAGTAAAAAGGTGCACGACACATTGCCAACGTCCGAGAGTAAAAATATATTTTTTTTTTTGAAAATAATAGTAATAAATGGATAAGGTGAAAATTTTATCGAGAAACCTGTTTTATATCTGAATATTTTAAAGCAATTGCACAGAGGAAAACATCTGAAAAAATAGAAAATTAGTCTTATGAAATTAATTTTAACATAATTACAGGAGCTTTTCTGCTTTCGCTAAAATATAATTTGGAAACGTATAGTATAACGTTCATTACTTTGTTTTAATTTTAGAACCATTGTATTATAAAAATATGTAAAGTAAACGTATTTTAAATCATGACGGATGACAAAATTTGGTTATCAAGTCTGTAAACCACCGAACCAAATTTTTGCAGACAAATTGATCTTATAATGATCAGCCAGTAAAATTTTGAGATGGATAACAAAATTTCCAGGAAAAAAAAAAAAAAAAAGAAATATATTTTTGGTCTTCTTTTCAAGTCCCATTTCTTATGAGGATTATCAATTAAAGCCTGATTTTTTCAAAATCTTATGCAATGAGTTCTTTTTAGTAATTTTTTCAGCGTAATGTTCTTTCGTAAGAAAATTTAGGATAAATTCTCAGTGTCACAAAGTGTTATTTTGCTAGCTGATGGTGCGCGCTGTCAGGCTTTAGGCCAAATGTCAGAGAACTTTCGTCACAAAATTCATAAAATGGCACATCGTGAATAAAAATCTAAAACTTACTAACCTTGACAACAGAAAATTAACAAAACCACACCTGGTAAATACAACTAAATGCATAACTTAGAAGTTTCTTTTTCAAAAACATATCAGACTTTTTATGTATATGAAATCCTAGCATTTTACTACGTCTGATTATGAGCTAATTTGTAATTTTTACCACTAGTAAGTAGTCTTCGTACGATTTCGAATGACTACTCGTACGTGGGCATAGAATAATGGGATATGTGACTTATCTGCGATTATCGCTACGATTTTCTGATGCCAAAGGAGGCAATTATCTATTTCATTGAATACAAATAAGTGAGTTTTTTATACTCCTTTATTATACTTCTTTTCAACAAACAAAACGAAATATTTAAGAAAATAATATTTTGTAAGGAAATAGGTTGGTTTGTTTTATGTGATCACGGCAAAGCCTCGAGGGCTAACTGCCTAAGGGAATTGATCCCTTCGTGGAGTGAATTTCTAAGGGGAACTGGTTCGTATACATGTTACACACGAGGGAAACCACGAAAACGCCCATGCAGCCAGCCCGTTCGTGTAATTCGAACCTCAGGCCAAACTACCAGTGTTCAACGACTTTACCGATCGGGCGCTAGTGAACCATAAGGAAGGAGAAACTGTATATTGCAGTGCAAAATTTTCTTAAAGTACACTACATTTAGTTCGTCCTTTTTTAAAAAACACTGTTAGGGATGGCTATTAATAAAAAAGGAGAGTTATATAGGGAATATTTGGTTTGCGTTAATAATTCCAAGATAATTATATTTTTTATACAATTTAAGATTCTTTAAAAATTTGCAGTATATTGTATTTTCTTTTGTCCTTATATGTTATTTAAGTTAGATGAATATGAAAAGCTCATCAGTAAATGGACAACGTAATTAATTTTACGTAATTCAAAATTAAGATAAAGCAATCCACATAACTGGAGTTCCGGATATGTGGAACCCAAATAAAGAGTTTTGTAGAATGAAAATTAGCAAACAGTATACTAAATGGTCTTGGTAGTATGAAAATATTCAAAATGGTGTCCGTCCAAAAACACTGCGGCAAAAACATCGCGGAGAAACAACGCAAAACGAAAACGTCGTAGTACAAAACATCGTGGGAGAAAAGAAAGCAAAGAGAAAGCATCGCAGTTCTAAGAAAAATAAAGCTGTTCAAAAACTTCTCAGTTTAAAAGCGTCGTCGAATATATCGTGGTCAAAAAAAGTACTTACAAATCATCGCATGACGATAACATCGCCCATATGCGTTTTTCAGGTTTTAAAAGTTTCGAATGATTTTTCGAATAATGGTCTGGGAGCGCAAGAAGGAAAGAAGGATATTTTTACTTTTATATCTCATACTTTTAAATGAACTAATAAATTTTTGATGAAAAACTAAGAAGGAAACTTAAGCATTAAAGAATTAAAAATGAGTGGAAATTTAACGTAGCTCTATATAGCTATCTTAATTTTAAATTTACATAGTTAACTAACAAAGGTTATTAATGAACTAATCTTTTCTATCAAGTTTTACTGATAATTTTTCACGAAAAATATAGTCTAAAATGCTTACAAAAAGGAAGACAAATACCTGCATGTAGTTATCTCTATAAAAATTGCTTAGGTTGAAAGGATTATGTTAATTTTATTAACAGTTAAATTTTAAGTTAAAGTTCCTTTCCTGTCAAATTCTTAACTTCAACTTACTACTTCCGGCCAGAACGTAGTTTTAGAATCACGTCTGAATATATAATGAGAAAGAGCAGTATTTACCGCGAAGTTCTTTGGTCTTAGCGAGAGAGAATCAGAGTTTCTGATTCTGCCTTTTGGCCACTCTCTCTCTCTCTCAAAGCTGTTATTACGCTCGGCCGTACTCAGGCCCTTGATAGCTTCGCAGTCATCTGGTGGTTAAGGGGCCAACTAGTTCAGAATCTTGATAGCTTCGCAGTCATCTGGTGGTTAAGGGGCCAACTAGTTCAGAATCTTGATAGCTTCGCAGTCATCTGGTGGTTAAGGGGCCAACTAGTTCAGAATCTTGATAGCTTCAGCTATATTTCTTTAGTTAAATTCTCAGTATCTTAAGTTCAAGCCCAAGCGTCGGCTTTGTTTATACAGCACTCCCAGGCGGAGTTTTGTTAAATCTTATTGGAATAATAAAGGGTTAGTTACCTTTCTATCTTGTTGTTTCTTGTCACACGAACTTAAGCGATTATTCGCTAACTAGTTCTCAAAATTCGTCACTTTCTACAGTAACTGAGATTTACACAGAGAAAATCTTACATGGTAATTATCAAATTATTTTCCTTCACGTTTGTTAATCTGCTATTGTTTTAGTGAAATTATCTTGTTTTGTTTCCGTTTATTCTTAAAGTGTCGTTAACATTTTCACTCTCTTTCCTTCTTGCGTTCTAAAATCATTATTCGAAAATGCAATTACAACTTTTAAAGCCTAAAAAACGCATGTGTGCGATGTTATCGTCATGCGATGATGTGTAAGTACCATATTTTTTACCACGATATTTTCGACGACGATGTTTTTAAATTGCGGAGTTTTTAAATCGCTTGATTTTCGACCACTATATTTTGTACCGCGATGTTTTAGAACTGCGATATTTTCTCTTTGCTTTCTTTTCTCCCACGATGTTTTGTACCACTACGTGTTCACCCGCGATGTTTTCGGCTGTAACCATTCAAAATAGTTTTACCCATTAAGCTCTTGCAGCATTTATAAAAGAGTTAAGCTTTCGAGTCGTACGAATTACACAAATGAAATATGAAAACACATTTGATCGTAGCATATCGATATCTCTGCCGGGGGACGAGGGAGCTTAATAAATGAAGAGTAAGAAATTTCATCTAAGCTTTTGCGCTTAAATAATCCAGAACACATAAGGAATTTATATTTATTTCAAGTGTGAAATTAATAAATGGAACTCCTTTCAAGTCAAAGAGAGAAAATACTCCTAATGTGTGTTTGATGGCCGTAAAACAATTTTCCTAGTTAATACAGTTTTCGTTTCATGAGAGAAGGGTGCAGGTAAAAAATTTCTTTTCTTGTCTTATGTAATAAATGAAGTGAAAAAGAAAAGATCTGTTTGTTCACGGCAACAAGTCTAGAGTAGTTTTGGAAAGTGGTGTTTTTTTTTTTTTTTTTTTTTTTTTCTTTAACCTAACTTCATAAACCGTACAGGAGGCGGACAACTTATCATTCTAAGAAATCAAGCTTAATATATTTCTAACCTTTCATTGTACCTAGATAACAGAGAAAAAAACCCCTTTACTTCTAGAGCGGTGAGGCATAATTCGAAATTATAGACGAATTGATCGTTAAAAATGCTAATGAAATGTTAGTGTTTCATCTTTTCTCTCATTTCCCCTAGTGTACAATATTATGTATTATCAAAACTATGCTGGCTCAATTCAACTAATTATTCAGCGCCATTACAGCAGTATATTCAGTTGTGCTCTATCATCCTATAAAACGAAATTACCTCAAACAAATATTTATTCAAGTTATATGGATTACAGATTGTTTATTTTGGATTTTAATTATATTTAGTATGAACTGGTAATTTAGGGAAATACAGCAACGTTGAATTTTTTTTTTCTCTTTGCATTCTGGATCATAAAATGTTTCACATTTTTCATTGTTGATATGTGTTTGCAATTTGCTCTGATGTAACCTTTTAGTTCTAATTTCTGAAATTATACATTTTGGACATAATTAAAATAAAATAAAGTTATAGTTACATACTTGCATCCGAAGAGGTGTCATTCCCATAAATACCTCCAGACCATCAGAGTCCAGATTATGACCGTAGATACTGACTTGTCCAGGACTCTTTTGACATACGTCCGTAACAATGGGGACGATATTTGATTTGTAAACTGCAAAAGAAAAATATGTAAAGTCTTAAAATGTGACATTACAATACAATAAAGCATTTCCAAACATATACTTCCTTTTAAGAAGAAACGCAATATGATATCGATCAGATAAGGGAAATTTTACTTCATGCATACAAAACCAGGCAAGTTCGCTTGCAGGCTTTTAGTAACGTAAGCATTTAAGTTCTTTTTATGTATTGAAAGCAGTAGCTAATGGTCAGATTCATCAACTGATCATTTTCATCGCTTGGGCAACTTTATAACTGAAGGATATCCAAGATTTTGAGTTCCATCTTTAATTTCTTAATTTTGAGATGCTTCCAAATTAAAAACATTACAGAAGGATGAAAATGAAAAGAACATAGTTAGATAGGTAAAATCCATAGAACAATATGGATGAATCGCAAACTCGACTGCACTTTCAATCTAAACCTTTAAATTTTTGCAAGTTGATGAGGCTTTTCAGTCTCTCGAGAAACTGGACCCAAATCTGGAAGGCACCAACTCAACAGCATAATTCTTCTTGTATTCAAGCTCATCATACTTTGCTTTTCTTTCACTCCACGGAGGATTTTACAGTATTTAACTGCTTTATTAAAACATAACTTTTATTTTGCTATTATATATTTTCTTTAAACGTCAGTTACCAAGCAGTGATGTAAGCCACTTTACTTGAACTTTTATTTGGGCGATGCTTAAACTAATGTGTTTTATCAACGGCTACTACGGTTTTCAATAAAGGGTTTATTGCTTTATTATTTGTTTTGCAGTAATCCATACACCCATCTGATCTGGACTTAGTTTGGTACAGCCATTTGATCTGGATTCAATTCGTAACGAATTTACTTTACAGTCTTCTTAACCGTTTTCAGTTTCTTTTCTGAATGGCGTTATAAGGCATTTTCTCCCTTCTTTCTGCACGCTTTCGGTAACGTGTAACGGTAGCACACTCGCCGTGTATTCGAGAGGTCCAGGTTCGAGTCCCGGCGAGGATAGTGCTCAATTTTCATGCCCCCTGCTTTAGAAAAGTCCTAATGGCTCTACAGCGTGAGATGTTCAAGTTGCTGCTCAAATAAAATCTTATGTCCACATAGTGACTCTAATATATGGTCAAAAAGACATTTTATTTCTCCCACTCTGGTTTCAGTATCTAAATGTTTACTTATTTAATAAATACCCCATAACGCGTCACCCTCCTCCTTTGAAACTGCGGAATCAATTCTGTAATGGTAATATTAACAAAGCTTCTGAGAAAATTCTTAAAGAAGAAGAAACTTGATTATTTCGCTTTAGAGATAAATTGTGTTTCTATTTAATTTAATAACTTTAGCAAGAAAGTAATGTTAAATGAACTGATTATCTAAGGATTTAAATAACAAGCTGACTTGTAATACCTCATTAATATGAGAACTTGCCAACACAAAAATTTTCAAAGTCGAGTGCATTTAATCCATATGACGATAAGGAAGAGTATGTTCGAGATTTAGTTGCACAATATTAAGATGATATTTATCATCAAATAAGACACAGTAGCCAAAGTATAGTTAGAAATTAGTTAACAGCAATAAAATTTCCTTAATATTTATAAAATGAAGATGCTTACCGTATTTGAATAAGACTTTGTCACAATATATCTTGTTCTTCTCACGTACACTTACATAAAAATCACAGTCATGCGAGAATGGCGGAATATTGGCTGACAGTGCAGTGGGGCCCAAAAACTGAAATAATAAAAATTAAGTATGGTATGATATACAAATTGTACAAATTTTGAAAATACAGTCGAAACTCTCTAGGCGAACTTCCAGAGACCAAAAATTTAGTTCTCTCTATCCGATCTGTTGAGAAAAAAGAAAATAGATCGTCTCATAAAATATTATAAAAATTTACAGTTGAATCACGCAGAAAAAGTGCCATATCTTTCAAAAGATGTTAATAGTAGCATTAACTTAAGGAATAAAACATTAAGAGATAATTACATGCTAATCCTTAATTTCTTTTTGGTTGTTTTTTAGTTTCGCCATACTTTTAATAATTCCTAATTCTCTACGATAAATTAGTTAGCGTAAGTATTATGGTCTACACTCGTCTCTACAATTATACATTTCCCTCTAAAATACGTATTTACAATTATGAATAAGCACCAGCCTTGAACGGAGGGCTACTTTTTAGCTCAGTCATAGAACTGGAATGAAATCAAAAAACCATTTCAAGCTCTTTGTTTCAATGGATCAGCGGCTCATTACTTGACTCAGTGGGATCTTTTAAGGTATGTTCTGGAGTTCCAAGGCTAGAGTGCTACACTACGCCTTTATTTAGAACATAAAAGAAAGGCGGGGATGAGAATTAAAAAACAGTAATCTAAAAGTGTTTTTGTAAAAACATTATAAATTTAAATGTTACTAATTTTTCAGTTGAAAATTGCAGAAATTCTGGAAGAAAGTTCGAAAAATACAGCTCTCTGTATAGCAATATAAAATAACATTTCGTCTACACGGAATTGGACAGGACCAAAAATTCCGCCCGTTATAGTGAGGTTTGACTGCAATAAACCTTTACTTATTAAATACAATGATACTGCCTCAATATTGGCATGGTGGTAGGAAAATCGCCTGCCATAATTTTGAGACGAAGTTCGAATTCCAGAGAAGGTACGGATGCTTGTAAGTGTGTAATGTCTTTGTGGCATGAAAGCACTTCAAATACTATCAAACAAGAAGTCCTTTGGAAAGATTTATGGCAGAGGAATAGGATGGTAGACCCTCGGATCCCCACCTTTCAAGCTGTTCTTCATCAAAACTGGGACATAAGACTGGATTTCTCCTTTCACGCGGATGTAGCAATGTTTTTCGAAGCGCAGTCTCTTTCAAAATCAGTTTGAAGGATAGTCTTTAAATCTACGATTCAAGCTGCCGCTTGTTGTGGACAGCTTATTCAAGCAAAAAACAAGGTCACGGATGGCTAGCATTTCTGCTAGTGGAGGAAGACAAAGGATTTCGAGCTATTGAATGATGATTACCTAATGATGGGAAGAATTTCCTGAAAAGGATGCATTCTATTATATGTTGCAGAAATTTTTATGTCGTTTGTTAGCATCATTACTAAATCAGTATTTGGTTTAACGAGATTAGTAAACAAGCATAGTATGCACAGTCATGACTAATCGAGCTCGACTCATATACCAAATAAATGTAGTATACGAAATAATTTTTGCGTCCAAACAGGACACATACTACGTTGAATGTTATTTCAAAGTAGGCATGTACCAAGGTACCACTGTATTTAAAATATTAGAGAATATTTTCTTCGGATAGTATGTTTTGGTTGATTCACAGAGTATTAACAATGTGCAGTGGGGGGGAAAAATTCAGCTAGAAAAAAACCAGAAACAAATGCCCAAGATTTCACACCTGAGTTAAAGATTTACTACTGTATGGGTTAACAAAAGCAAGTATTATTTGTATGACACCTTTATAATTTTCTACAATTTTTGAATTTTTTAAACATATTTTGAGTTTTTATTAATTTTGATGCTAAAACATTTCGGATGTCATGCAAAGTTTTTATATATCAAAATTCTTGTTTATTTTCTTGCTACTAGAGCTTTCCCAAGACCGAATGCAATTTTTTGTCGTAGGATCATCATGTCTTCTAGCTCCAGTTTGAAGCCGAATGAATTATTTTTGGTACTTGAAGATCTCTAACATTAAACAGCAGTGGCTATTATATTATATTTTGATATCTACATATATATTTTACTTCAAAGCGATATATGCTGATTTCTTAAGGTAAATTTCTAGTTCAGTAATCATGTTTAATTACAAAATTTCTTTTCTGTAGTATTCTCAACACATATATGCCCACCAGCGATCGAGCGGTAAAATCGCTGAACACTGGTAGTTCAAACCTGGGTTCGATTACAGGCGAACAGGCTGGCTTGCATGGGCGTTTTCGTGATTTTCCTTAAGTGTAACGTTCATACGAACCATTTTTCCTTAGGAAGGTCCTCCAGAAAGGCATTCTTTTCCTCAGACAGATAGCTCTAGTAGGCTTTGCCTTAATCAATTAACAATGAAATCAACATACATATTTAGGATAATCCTGCAAAATAATGTTTATAATTTATAGAATTTAATATTTCCATTTAAGCAAGCTTAGCAACATTCGCATAGTTCTTGCAGTACACTGACATTACTAATTACCTATTTATCAATGAAAATAGGCAGTTAAAACTCATCAATAGGACAGATTTAGAAGATCAATAGTTTTTTGGGCAGTGTATTCATCAATAGGACAGATTTAGAAGATCAATAATTTTTCGGGCAATTTTCATCGTAAAATATGTATTTACGTTTAACAGAACAATGAATCATGCTAATTTCCAAAACGGGAGGCGATTAGCTTTGGATTCGTTGAGTTACTTCGCATTTTTAGTTAAATCGTGTTTCAGTTAAGTGAGTTCAGTTGGATTAGATTTTATTGTATTATCAAAAACAATAATATACGTACCTTCGTTCTCAAAGGCGTGTTATTCAAACAAATTTGAACACATGGATTAAAATTTTCCCCACTGACGAAAATCCTCTGTGAAAAAAAGCCTTTTTCGGGATAAATTACATGAACTTTGGGAAGAAATTCTGTAAAACAAAGAGAACAAATTAAATATCTGGTAACACTGTTTAATTTCTTATAATTCTAACAAACTATAATGATGAAAACCTTATGATTTTCTAAAATAATTTTTGAAACAGGACAGATGTACAGATTTATTTTCACCAGCAAATATTATGAATAAATTTGAATGCAAATTAGGAATAACATTAAATTCACTAATTTACAAAATACATCATGCATTATATTAAGCATGCTGCTATAAACGCAGTTGAAGGACATGAAAAACTACAATAGTTATTTTAACTTTGCGTTATTATTATCCTCAAATCTTTCATCACAGATAATAAAAATTTAAGTTAATTTACAGTCATGTTTACATTTTTACCACTGTAAATCAGTTCTCATATAAATTAATTTGCGTGCGACAGTTCGCAGTCCGCAACTGATGCAGTTTTTTTCAAGAACTATTAAACGTTTTATTTAAAAAGTTCTAGCTTTCAGTGCATTGGCATAAGATTTTCAAATGTGTTATTCATAAAAACACAAAAATATTGGATTTAGAGGAGAGTATAGGGAAAGAGAAGTCCAAATTATCTGAAACCGCCGTCTTTCAGATAAGTAAATAATAGATAGTAAATAATAGACAGATAATAAAAATTTAAGTTAATTTACAGTCATGTTTACATTTTTACCACTGTAAATCAGTTCTCATATAAATTAATTTGCGTGCGACAGTTCGCAGTCCGCAACTGATGCAGTTTTTTCAAGAACTATTAAACGTTTTATTTAAAAAGTTCTAGCTTTCAGTGCATTAGCATAAGATTTTCAAATGTGTTATTCATAAAAACACAAAAATATTGGATTTAGAGGAGAGTATAGGGAAAGAGAAGTCCAAATTATCTGAAACCGCCGTCTTTCAGATAAGTTCTACTCTACCGATAAGACTCAAAATTCTACACCGCAAGAATTTGCTTTCGACTTTTTTTGTATCAGTTGCAAAGTAAGATTTTTGCATCCAAGAATATCCACGATGTTCACGATCACATCAAAATGGCCGTAATTTAGTCAATGAATACGGCTTCACGAGCTTTTGCGACTCTATTTGTGTATATTTTAAATTGAAAACTCTCAATATCTGACTGGCGCATAATAACCTTTAAGGTTATGTTCCATGAAACTAACAACCTAACCGTATTGGTTAAAATATTCGGTTTGAGTTACAAAGAAGGAAAAGGTTTCTTTTTTACGTATTTTCTATTTTAAATTTCTCATGCCTATATTCTACGAGGAAAAGAAATTGTATGTTTAAAATTATTATATTAATTGAAGCGATATCAGTTTTTATATTTCATATAAAAGAAGTTACCTATTATGTAAGTATTAGAAGCATTAAAGTAAGAGTACCTATTTATCAAACTGAAAAACAGCTAACTAAATACAACTACTTATTTTGAGGAATAAAGTAAAACAAAATTCTTACCTTCTTGCAAACGTGACCTCTTATTAATTATAGAATCACTTTTGTGAAACATTGCTCTTTTCCTGCTGTGTTTAGAATTATTATGAACAAACATATTCTCTGAAGTTCCTAATACATTGGCTTTTATTTTCCAATTCTCGTCTCTAAAAAACATAACCTGTAAAGAGGAAGGGAAAATGTACAGTTATTGATATGAAAAAGAACTTAAAATATCTGTGTACGAATCAGGTGATGGAAAATAATACAAATTTTTACGTATCAGAAATCAGCTATAATAATTTTGCAGTTGAAATTTTTATAAATGATTATAATCTTGATCATCCTCTATATCTCATGAGCTTTATTCATAGATAAATAATGAATGTTAAGCTCTATGTTTTTTATATCATGTTTTATGGTATAGGCTGCATGGAAGGTGTGCAAAAACAAATACGAAGATTTCCTTTAGATTTTGTTCATGAATTGTCAGTTAGTGACATTTTCAAGAGTTATTCAATAACAATATCAAAACTTCAATCTTAGTTGTGATAATGTTAATCATTATCTCGGTTAGTTATTTAATGACGTTCAAGAGTTATTTAATAACGATATCAAAATTTCAATCTTAATTGTGATAATGTTAATCTTTATCACTAATATAATCTGTCAATCATTATCACTGTCTTATAATGTTAATCATTATAAGACAGCGGCTAAGCTCGAAAGAGAAGCCAAGTATTAAAAAACAGGATTCATCCAAACAACGGTTATGCCCCACATATATACATAAGAGGTGTGGTTTATTTTGAACTACTAAAAAATAACCGAACCATTAACGCAGACATCTAGTGCATTCAGGTACTTTTATATCTTTATTATAGGCTATCTGCAGTGTACTGATTAACAAACTCGAACTGTACTTTAGCGGGATATCTCTAAATAAAAATTGAATAAAAAAGAATTTATAGGTTACTATAGGTTACTCTGAACTTTATTTACAGTAGATGGCAGCTCAACATAAACCAGACCGTATATTTTAAGCCATGTTTAGTTTTTTAAGACTCTCATTTTTCAAAGAAACCTTCCAGATTTTTTTTAGGGTATAAAAGGAATTGTTTGAAAAGAAATTTTTATGTTATTTTTTGACTGTATGCTAATCTCCTTATTTTATATTAGTTTTAAATTTTTACCTTGAAATCTTGCTTACAATCAAAGGCGAACCCTAGGTGTGCCCAGACCGGGCTCACCAATAATCTAGGACAACTGAGAGTCTGTAATCTTTGTTTCTCCGTATCTCATCGGTCAGTTCATTGACAACAAAGTTCGTTTCAGCAGTGTTTTCGAAGCTCTTTTCAATCAGTGTGCCCACTTTGGGCACACCCACAGAATTAAAACAATAAGTGCTATCTTCACAAAATTTTACTTGTGTACTCCTCTAGGCCTTTAGACTGCTTTTTTTTTTTTTTTTTTTTTTTTTTAATCAAAACACCAACTTTAAAAGGTAGCGTGCCGGAAAGGGTTAAACCTGCTTCCAGTTCATTTACACAAAGCATATTCTCTTCACACCGTACATTTAAATAGAGAATGTGTTTTTGTTAAAACTAAGTTATTAACTTTATTGGCATAAATTCAGATTCGAGATACATTCTTCCAGCTGAAGATTTTTCAAAATAAAGTTAAGACATTTTGAACAGTCAGAGTGAGAGAGTTTAAATAAAATAAATTGAATTTTTCTACACTTCAAGGAAAGCAAAACTCCGATCAGCGAAGTATTATGAAATTAATCTATTAAATTAGTCTATTAAACATATTCCATCTATTTCTGTTCAAACTTTAGAGTTGTTATTGCTTATTCGACTGAAACACGAGACCTTCGAGAGGTTTGCGATAATCCTGGTATGCATATCTCGTAATTAATTAATTGATCATTTTAGAACTTTTAAGAACTGCCTATCTTTTTTTTTTTTTTTTTTTTTTTTTTTTTTTTTTTTAACAAACCTCCTACTTTAGAAGGTACCGTGCCGGAAAGGGTTAATAGAAGAGACCAATACCTCAGCTGAAATAATGGATGAGTAAGAATCTCTCATTATTAAATTTCTGCAGACATAATTATATTGGGTTACAAAAGCTCGTTTAAAATGTTCTCCCATTTAAGAAGTTCATTTCCATTCATTTAAAAAGCTCATTTCTTAAATATTTTCTTACTTCGATGAAATACTAAATTAATTGAAAATCAAATTTAATGCGCATTATTTAAATCTATTTTAAAAGTGTATTCTATTTAAATAGATTAATTTCGGAATAATGAGTACAGTCGTAAATATTTTGGTACTTAGATTGTTCGTAAGCTGGTTTGTTAACAACTTATTTTATATAAGGATGTTCTCATTTAAGAAGTTTATTTATTTGGGATTCCTCAGAAACCTTCTTAAATTGGATTCTGCTCTACACTTTACTTCCATTTTAAGATGTCTGTCTCAATTCTGCATTATGCTCTTATCGGTGTAAAATAAACTGATAATGGAAAATTAATTTTTTCTATATGTATAGATAGCCCAAATATTAACATATAAATATAACAAAGATAAAAATGAAGATATTAAAACCATCACTAAGTTACCGGCAGAGTTAAAATGCCTAATATTTTTCTTTTAAAGAAGAATCATAACGGGAGTTAATGAAAAATATGCTGGTGGCCTGTCGCTTAAGAAGTTACAAATAAGCAGAAAAGTATGAGAGATAGTTGATAGTTCATAATGTATAAGCTTCCCATGTCTATACCCCTTTTCATACCACATTTACCAACATTTATCATCTGCGTGTGCTGTCAAATGGATAAGAGTTATTGCCATTCTATATGGCATAAGATCTTTCATTTATCATTGTATATGTTCATTATATAATAATTGTTTGTGCCTTGAAAAGCCTAGGAGTTTATATTATTTAAATCCAAGTAAACTCTCTCATGTTGATCACTTCCCTCAGATGACCACTTATTTCTGAGAACACAAACATTGCTCTTTAAGGTACTACTCCATAGTTTGCACATCTGTTCATCAGTCACTAGTTTTCTTCCTGAGTATTGTTTTCTTATTTAATCTTATCTATCTCTTTTTTCTCACCCCCCGCTACCCTCCGCCAGTCTCTGCATTTCACTTATCGTTATTTTTTTTTTCCACATTATTTCTCTGCATTTCCCCCCCCTCCGATGCAGTTTATATCCTTCACTTTCTTAGCTCTTAATTGGTTCTCTGTACAGACTTAGATATAATACAATATATAGATACAATTATCAAAATACAAAAGCACAGAATACAAAAGAAACTACAATAATATTTTTGCATTGCATCATTTCATTAACAAAAAGTAATATAAGCCATAAATAAATATGCATACATTTAACAAAATTCAAACTGACACAGATCTGAAGATAAAAACTGTTGCTCTAAGTATCTAGAACATAGCAGCTAAGAAGCGTAAAAATCGGTTTGGAATTAAGCAAACAAATTAACATAATAAATATCATTCTTTTGAAACCTTGAATTGTAATTTTAAACTTACTCGAAATCTTCTCATATCTCTTGGATTGCCAGCAGATTTTAAGCAATTCTGATTACACTTTAAATAAAACTTCATAGTTTGACTACAAGAAGAAAAAAAAAAAAAAAAAATATGCTAATAAAACTTGTGTTAAAAAGATATAAGCTTAATTTTAAAGTATCATAAAAGCCACCGAAAAGAAAATTCAAATACTAAAATTCTTTTTAAGGAAATTTTCTACAGAAGATTAAAATTCACTCTGATTTCACGTTTTTTATTGTGATGAGGAATTAATGTACCTTTAACAATCTAAATGAAAAGTATTTAACTGTGGCTTGAAAATTACACACAAACCGCACCTCCTTTCAAAGTTAAGCATAAAAACATATGGCTAAATAATATTGTTACGTATTTTGCATAAAGTAACAAGAACGCCTCAAAAAAAGAGAAGCTCTGCCTGAAAAATAAGATTACAGAGATAAGTCTAACACATGCAGTTTGGTCCGAGGTTCGAATCCAGCAAACGGGCCGTCTGCGTGGGCGTTTTCTTGATTTTCCGCATGCATAACGTGTATACGACCAAGTTTTCCTTATAAAATTCTCCACGAAGGCATCCTTCCGCTTAGGCATATAACCCTCGAGGCTTTACCGTAATTACATAAACTAACCAAACCATCAAGAAGTAGCTTAAAATTCGATGAAAATCTTTGCACCATATCAACGAACACTATGTATAAGCTAAATAAAAGTTTACAAGAATAGACACAATGCCGGTGCCTCTAACAATGAAGAGAAAGTACTCATTCAGTTTGGAAAAATCTTTATCTTTTTGTAATGTAACAGCAGCATCTCTCTAAAAAAGGCAAACCATACGAGCAGCATAGCCGCTGAACACTAGTAATTCGTTCCGAGGCTCGAATCCCGCGAACTGGCTGTCTGCATTAGCGTTTTCGTGGTTTTCCGCGTGTATAACGTGTATGCGAGTGAGTCTCTCTGAGAATGTCCTCCACGATTTCCCTTAGACAGATAGCCCTCAAGGCTTTCTCGTAATCACGCAAAAAGAATTTCATTAAAAAATGTTTTTTCAAATGCTTTCTGATAATCAAAATTTTAGTATTAGAACGTACTTAAAGAAGAAATGTTTTTCAACTCGCGAATTTTGATGCAAAAAGCTAAACATATTTCAAGCCGAATAAATGCTATGTTACCTGTTTTATCTTGCTGTTTTCGGAAATTAGATTTTATATGATACATTATGGTATTTTCATAGACTTCTTCAAGATTCCTTTCACGCCTCAAATGTTTTGAAGGATTAATTAACTCTGCTGTATTGTGGTAGGCGGCATCACTGCTATTTTCCTTCAGACAAAAAGTAAATAAAAATGCCAAGTAGGTCACCGCGGCGAGAAAAAGATGTCTAACCATCAACGCGTCGGCGATGTGAATTATTGCTTCTTCTCTTCTTTAGCGAAAAAGGTCGCGAAACACAGAGAGGACGAAGCAAAGCTACAAATCTGTCACTAAAGCATTCGATTTCAAGCTCGCTTATAAATGTTTCAGTTTCGGATCTTTTTTTTTCCTTTCGTGTTTTACTCTTTTTAAAAACT